CAGTAGGTCGTGGCGGACGTGGCGGCGGCCGCCATGAGGACGAGAAGGGCAGAGAGAGGGTTCATTGTGCTTGACAACAAGTAAATTGAAGAATGACTACCCAGAGTGGCTTTTTTGTCTTTGCGCGACACCGTTCTCGTGGATGATTCCAGGACGACATGTCCAGCTTCGCATGAAGGCCGATCCAAATCACATGTCGTCCTCGAGCTGTATACCGTATAGTTACGAGTGCTTCGCGTACGATGAAATAATTGGCATAAATTGGCATACCCCCGGTACCGGTACCGGTAGGTCATGCCTGTAGGTTATGCCTCCAGCCGCGACGATTGCGACAAAATCGAGCGCTAAAAATGTTGAAATATCTAGCTTCGTAGCATTGCGGCGGTCGTTTTATCCAAACAAATGCCACACATACCCTGACGCATACCGGTACATGGTCGTTTCTGACTGGGAAGGGTCGCACGCGAGCCGATGCGAAGTGGGTGTGCAGACCGTACAGCTGTGTGCTCACTTCGATAGTTTTTATTAATAGTCACGTTGCGGGAATCTTTTCTAAGCGGTGTTGCCAGAGATCTTGTTGGAGACGAATCGAATACCGTCTAGCAAGTCCTCAATACTAGTCTTGTGTTGAAAAAGAGGGCCGATCGAATGAGGTCCTACCGGTAGTACACACACTACGCAACTTTGCTCAACATGGTACAGAGACCGACCGCATGGCGGAACGACTGACTCCTCCATGCGACACCCCGTGCCTCGGTCTGGCTGCATTGAATATGCGGTCATCCCAGACGCCATATGGCTTGCTTGGCATGCACACAATCTTCATTTGACGACATGAGACGACATGTGATTTGGATCGGCCTTCATGCGAAGCTGGACATGTCGTCCTGGAATCATCCACGAGAACGGTGTCGCGCAAAGACAAAAAAGCCACTCTGGGTAGTCATTCTTCAATTTACTTGTTGTCAAGCACAATGAACCCTCTCTCTGCCCTTCTCGTCCTCATGGCGGCCGCCGCCACGTCCGCCACGACCTACTGCGGCGACTCGGCCCTCAAGCTCACCTCGTACAACCCCGGTGACAAGGCCATTTTCGCGGTCTCGTCCGTGCTCGTGTCGGGCCAGAAGGACGCGATCCTCGTCAACGCGCAGTTTGGCAAGTCCCAGGCGCAGGCCGTCGTCGACCTCGTCAAGGCCAGCGGCAAGCACCTCACGACCATCTACGTGAGCCACGGCGACCCCGACTACTACTTTGGTCTTGATACGATCCACGCCGCGTTCCCGGACGCTGCCATCGTGGCTACGGCGCCCGTCGTCGAGCACATCAAGGAGACGGTCGCGGACAAGCTCAAGACGTGGGCCGGTGCGCTTGGTGCGGACGCGCCCAACGCGACCATCATCCCGGATGTCTTGAAGGCCAAGCAGCTCACGCTTGAAGGCCATTCGCTCGAGATCCGCGGCCCTGCGGCCCGCAGCTACGTCTGGATCCAAGACCTCAAGGCCGTCGTCGGCGGTGTCTTGCTCGAGAAGAACAACCACTTGTTCATGGCCGACTCGCAGACGCCCGAGTCGCACACCGAGTGGCTCAACGCGTTGGCCGAGATTCAGGCGCTCAAGGCGGACGTGATCGTGCCGGGCCACGGTCTTCCGGGCCCGGTCACCGACATGGAGTCGCCCGCGTTCACGGCCAAGTACATTCGCGACTTTGACATCGAGACGCCCAAGGCTGCCAACAGCACGTACCTCATTGCGGCCATGAAGGCCTTGTACCCCACCATCGGTGGCGTCGACAGCCTCGAGCTCAGCGCCAAGGTCGCCAAGGGCGAGATGACGTGGGTCTAATCGACGCAAGTCCACTAGAACGTTTTCTGGCTATTGTAAACTATTATCTTTTTCGATTGAAACAATTGTACTTTTTCAAAAGTCGGTGAGGCATCCGAGTAGATGTAGTACCAGCAAGCGACAATAGGGACCGAGCTTGATTGTGGAGCTGATCCAGCAATTAGCACTAGCATGGACATTCTTTTCCTGACGCATTCCTGTCGTACCAGTCTCCAGAAATAGAACAATGTTATTCAAATATGAAGATGCAATGCACAAGTTGTCACGAACGGGAACTTCTCACGAAGCGCTCGCTGCCGTCGACGCTAAAACGCTGTTGCCACGGCGAGAGGCATCGAGAATGTCAAAACAACGAGTATGTTAAGAAAATCCAGTTAGTTCTCGCAACAATACCAGTGTACGTTGTCGTTGGAGGCGCCTTCGTCCGTGCCATCGTGGTTTATCAGGTGCGGACGGTGTTGGCACCGTATATATTTCTTTCAGTGCACAAAAAGTCGTACGACACACCACAAATGACAGTATTCCGTTTACGGGTTGGCATACTTTGCATACGCGTTGATATAGTACTCGGGGTCACGCACCGTGAGCTTGAACGCCGGGCGTGCGATTGCTGCTTCGTACGCCGCCGTGACGAGCGGAAAGCCTTTCGTAATGTCAAAGTCGCGGTAATGGCTCAAAACGTGCTTGAAGCGGAAGAGGAACGGCACGATGTTGATCTCGGCGCTGCTGAGGTCGGCGCCGAGAAGGTATGGGCCGTCGGCGCGAAAGTCGGCTGCGTGGTCGCGGTAGATCTTCTCGAGGTCGCCGAGCGCGGCTTCGATCTTGGCCTCGAGCTCGTCTTTCTTGGCCGGGTCTTGGTTGCGGAGAAGTGCGTAGAATGGACCAATCTCAAACTTGGCTTGGGCCAGCTGCGCCAATGCCGCGCGCTCGGGGCTGTCGCGGTTGTGGAGCTTCCCGCCGTTGTACTTGGCGTCCAAAAACTGCGCCACAATCGCCGACTCGTACACAGGGTACCCTTCGTGGACAAGGAACGGCACGGTGTGGTACCGGTTGAACTTTTCGACGTAGCTGGGCGGCATCTCGGCGTAGAGACCAATCTCGTACACCGTCAGGGGTGCGTCGACCTCGGCGGCGGTCCACAGCGCGCGGTGGCCAAATGGGCAGCCAATGTTGTTGAAGAGATGAACCTTGCCGTCCGTCTTGAGCGCGTCAAGGTCAGAGTCTGAAAGCGACGTGTACGCGACGGTCGTGAGTTGCTGAGCGGGCATGCTTGCACAGGAGGATACCGGTAATGAAAAATGACGATCTTAGCGCGCGCTCTGGCGCTGGATTGGTTCAGATCCACGATTTCTTATTTATAGCAATATTAAAATTATCCTCTTGTTTGTATGGTGACGGTGCGGATTTGGTGACATTGCACTTGGCGAGTGACGTGGCACACCAGATGGCGAGCAAATCCTGCGAATTCGGCACCGTTAGCCAATCACGTGGCGCCGTGCCATCTACGCAAGGCGGCTGGCAGCTGTGCCCCTTGGACCTTCTCCGTCGTCTTCGAGTCCTCACATGTATCCTGTGCGACGCTGGGAGCAGTACAATGCCACGATTCCTCCCGACGTCTTCGGCTGCATTCTTCAAGGCTTCCGACGTTGCAAACTCGAGCGTTAAGGTGGGTCAACCGCCACCGGCCGCACGTTGTTGCTCTCATGGATTGGTCAAAAAGACAAAGATTTGCCGGCCATCACGCGTGATGATTGGTCAAGGGGTACCGTATTACCTCATCATCGCAAATACCAAACGTCCAACAGCCATGATCGCAGCCGTCGCCCAACGCCTTCCTCGCCGCTTCCGTGGAGAGCTGCAGTCATTTCCAAATTGCCCACGTCGCTACCACTTCGAAAATGACCTTTGAGATCACCGACTTTAACACGCTCTCGGCCGCAGACCGTGCCTCGCTCAAGACGAAAGACGGCAAGGTCCACCTCTTCAACAACCTCATTTGCCCGTTTGGGCACCGCGCGCTGTGGTCGGCGGTCGAGTCGAACGCGCCGTTCCACATGATTGACGTCTCGCTCGCGTCGATGCCCGAGGCGTACATTACCGAGTTCAACCGGTACCACACCGTGCCCTTCCTCCTCGACAACGGCACGTCGATCTTCGAGTCGGCCATTATCGCACAGTTCCTCGACGTCAAGTACAACGGCGGCAAGCTGCACCAGCGCGACAGCCCCGAGCGCGCTGCGTTGGCGCAGCTGGCCCAAGCCAAGTTTGAGATTGGGCCGTTCTACGGTCTCTTGCGCAACCAGGACCCGGCCAAGAAGGAGGGCTTTGAAGCCGACATTCGCGAGACGCTCGACGAGCTCGAGAAAATTTACCGGGAACACGCGGCCGAGTTCCGCGCCAAGGGTCCGTACCTCTTTGGCGATCAGCTGAGCAGCGCCGAGATCAACATCATCCCGTTCTTCTTCCGCTTCCAGATCATTCTCAAGCACTACCGCGACTTTGAGCTCCTCAAGGGCTACCCGCTCCTTACGGCCGCGTACGAAGCCGCGGTCGAACGCCCAGCGTTCAAGCAGACGATCAAGGAGCCCGAGTTTTTCATCAACGCGTACGCCAAGTATGCCAACCCGTAAACCTCCTAATGTAATTTTGCATCCCACGCCAATTTGATGACGCGTCTCGAGTTTGAAGCGACCATGCTATCTGGCGAGCCAAAACGAAAGTCCACGCATTGCAGTAAGTTGGTTATCCTAATACCGCATTCACTTCTCCATGATGCCGGCTACCCGTTGCGATAGGCCGTGGGTGTTATCAGACAGTTTAGTTTGGACACGAGCGAGAAAACGACTTCCTCGGGATGACACGCTATCTGTCCTCATGGTTTGACTGCATTCCTTCCATGTCACTGACAGCAACGGACGTGTACAATTCGCACTTGGGGTACCTATTGTACATTCTGCATAGCGTTTTTCAAAGTTGGAGTGCGATGTACAAGGTTGTCAAAAAGAGTAGAGAAAATTGTACTAGTATTTGTTTACGCGTTCGCAAACTTGGCATAGCCCTGGATGTAGTACTCGGGTTCCTTGGTCGTCTTCTTGAATGCCGGGCGCTGGCTCGACGCCTCGAGCGCCGCCGACAGGAGCGGGACGCCTTCGAGGATGTCAAAGTCGCGGTAGTGCTTCAGAATGTGCTTGAAGCGGAAGAGGAACGTGACGATGTTGAGCTCGGCGCTGCTAAACTTGTCGCCGAGCAAGTACGGGCCCTTGGACCGAAAGTCGGCCGCGTGGTCGCGGTAAATGGTCTCAATTTCGCTCAGCGAATCGCGCAAGTTGGCCTCGAGCTCGGCCTTCTTGGCCGGGTCCTTGTTGCGAAGCAGTGCGTAGAAAGGGCCGGCCTCAAACTTGGCTTGGGCCAGCTGGGCGAGCGCTGCGTGCTCGGGAAAGTCGCGGTTATGGATCACACCATTGTTGTACTTGGCGTCCAAGAACTGCGCGACGATCGCCGACTCGTACACGGCGTAGCCATTGTCGAGGAGGAAGGGCACGGTGTGGTATCGGTTAAAATCGGCCACGTAGCTCGCCGGCATGTCGCCAAGGTCAATGTTGATGATCTCGAACGGCACGTTGACTTCGGCCGCGGCCCACAGCGCGCGGTGGCCAAACGGGCACACAAAGTTGTTGAAGAGGTGGACCTTGCCGTCTTTGGTCTTGAAGGATGCGAGCTCGGCGTCCGAGAGCGCCGTGTACTCGATCACGTGGAGGTCGGCCGTTGACATGGTGTCGTGTTGGTAAGTAGAACCGTGGAAATTGAAAAATGACGATCTTGAGAGGGAAAAAAGGGTTTGGCCGCGCGACATGTTGTTTTACTCTTTGTGTGAAAAGGAAATATTCGATCACCGCCGTTGGCCAATCAAAACGACGAATGGGACAACGAGCATTCGCCTTGGACCAATCCGAAAGCAGCATCCGTCCAACCGAGCGAGCCAACGCGCTCCGGCCAAGTCGTCGCCGAAAACTTCCGTGTTCGGTTAGTACGTCCTGCGACAACTACATGTATGTATGATATGAGGAAGCTACACGAGGAGGTCTCTACTAGGCCTACGAGCTTTCTTTGGCTGATCGATAATGTTAAAGGCATAAATCGCACAAGCTTGGTGCTCCTACAGGGTTTTGTTGTATGGGCCACGAAGCCATCTTTCGACCATTGGTTATAGGTCCGCAGCTAGTACAAATTGTACGATGTGGGCAGGTCGGTAGCATTTCTTTGGACGTCAACGCCGTTCAAGCCTCTCGAGTCGCTGTAGTGCTTGAATGTTAATAACTTTTAGTTCCCATTTCGCGCCACATGTAATGAACGCTTGGTCCGATCAAATCGGACGCCTTCGAGAACCCGAAAACGACGACGAGTGTACATTATGGACACCACAAATGCATGCCAGAATCTTCTACAACCCCATCACTTTGGCAAGCGCAAAACTCAAGGACGCGCCGGCCACGAGGCCAAAATTGACAAAAAAGCTCGCAAACATCCCCGCGCCGCTGCGCTCGGCGTCGTCGACGCAGTCGTTGACAAAAACGACGGTGAGCGCGCCGCCGTAGCCGTGCGTCCAGCTAAAGACGGCCACGACAACGTACGTGATGACGTCGTGTGTAAAAAGGACGTTGCGGGCCAAGCAGACAAAGACGGGGATGCACACGCACCGACCGAGCACGAGGCTCCACACGTTATGGCGTGTAAAACAGAGCTTGTAGCGCGCGCAGTATCGGCCAAGCGCATCAAAGAGAGCGTCCCAGCCCATGAGGAGCAGCGGAAACCACCCGGACGTGTTCAAACTGGGGACGTTGAAGCTCGCAATGTCCGTCAAGAGCCCCGGCCACACCAGCATCGTCGTGAGGTTGAGCACGACGACAAGAATGCCGTTGAAACGAATCTTGCGCAGCAGCGTTGGCTGCAGTACCTTGTGTGTCTGCGGCGTCGCGTGCACGGACGCGCTCCCGGGGAGGCGCAGTAGAAGGAGATACGAGGCGACGCCGGCAGCCATCGTCGCGGCGCCCGCATAAAAGTACACCATCGACGCGGGCACGGTCGCGTCGCTGGGAAAGGCGCCTTTGCTGACGCAGCGGTACGCGGTCGTGATGAAGATCGAGAGGCCAATGCCGAGCTGGACATGTTCGATGCTGCCGCTCGGGTACATGGCGGCTAGGGCAAAGAGGGACGAGCCGGCGACCGCGGCGCCGATGGCCACAATGACGGAGCAGAGAAGCACCATGACTTCGTGCTGCGTTTGGGTCGTGAGGACATAGTACGACGCGGGAAGCAGCAGAAGCACGAGCAGCTGGGCGCCAAAGCCGCCGATGATGCGCGACCGAAACGACTGGCGCGCGCCGACGGCGAGGAGACCAAAGATAACGACGACGTTGGCAATGTAGTAGGCGAACGAGATGCGAAAGTTGACGTTGAAATTGGGAAAGAGGAGCCGCCAATAGTCGACGGGCTGCACGAGCATGCAAAACGGCGTGTAGTAGCAGAGCCCCATGAGCAGAAAGAGTAGATTGGCGCGGCGTGTGTCGGCGGTGGACCACACTGTCGGACTGCACTCGACGTCGTCGCTGGGTGTCGACACGGATGCGTACGGCTCCATCGCAAGACCGTTGTCGTGGACTCGTTAGTACGTATTATAAGCAAGTGCTTGGAACGATGCGCCAGCGTGAACGTGCGGCGATCTCACGCGCGTGTGATTGGTCCATCTTGTGAGTTGGCGTGCGTTGATTGGTGCGTTCAAGAGAGGGTGACCTACGTGATTGGTATCGGTCGCCAAGGATACCAATCGGGACGACATTCACATGGGTGCCACCGATGTAGACGCAGAAAGACCGTTTGAGAGCCACTCGTTGGACGAAGCGATGAGCGATGACACTACGAGGTGGTCACGACGTGGGGCGTGCCCCAGTGGGTAGTCTGGAAGCGGTTGACAGCGATTCTGATAGCACTGCGTCGTGTCTGCACTAGCGCCGTTTTGCAGTCGATCAAGTCGACAGGCGAGAACGTTACGATGGTGCGTTTCGAGATCTGGTCGGTCGGCCGCGTGGACCATCGAGTGGCGCATAGACAGGCTACGATCGCGTGCATATGCAGCAGTGGACGGGACGAGCATGCATGTAGATGCGTTGGACGTTGTCCGTCATCTTTGATTTTTACGCGTCAAAAGACAGGAAAAGACCAGTCGTTGACGGTGCACAAGAGGGGAACAACCGTCAGCGTCCCACGGCTTGGTCCGTTGCGTCGACGATGTACTCCGTGTCGAGCTAAGCTCAACACTGCGTGTCCTCGATCCAGACCGAACTCCTTGGGGGTAGCAACCGTGTAGGTGTCCGCCATGCCAGTGGTGGGGCGAGGCGGGTTCGTTTGTTGACCGACGCTGCAATTTCTGAAATCGCATGAGCTTGAGTGCCTGCACCTGGATCTTTTATCTTGTGCGTTCAAGATTTAGTCTTCTAGATCGCTCGGCCTTGCGCGAAGAAAATCTTGCACTTCTTGACCCCTCAACGCCCAACTTACTGTTAACAGAGCGTTGCTGACTGCCAACGCCACCGACCACAAGAACGTGGACGACATTGCACTCTTTTGTCGATCATTTTGACGGCGAGACGACTGTAGTTCTTGGTCGTCACAAGCGCTTCGTCCATCAAATTCACATTCGGCGTGCCCATCGAAGCTCGTTTGCCACGACTGTCTGTCCTGCATAGTTCCTATCACGTATTAGTAGCATACTCCGTACTTGTAAAGCATCTTGGACACCCTGAACACCAAGAAATAGCAAATCAACCAACGTGCGAACGACGGCCTATCAAAGCACCAAAGCCCATCGCGTTGCGGGACAGGCTGGCCAATGCACTCGTGCCGGGGTGTCGTCACCATGAACATGCCCCGGAGCTCGCCAACAGGTACGTCTTGGCCCGTGGGCGCTATCACGGCAAGGTGCTCTATCTCCACAACATTTACGCCCCAGCCGAACCGGACAAGCGCGAGGCCTTCTTCGCGGCGCTCCCCAAGCGCTTTGAACCCGACGCAGAGCACATTGTAGGCGGCGACTTCAACGTCACTCTGTCCGGCGCCCTTGACTCGTTCGAGCCGCGTCCGGAGAACCTCCAGGGGGTCGAACAGCTCTTGCGCTGGCTCAGCGACCTCCGTCTGGTGGACGCGTACCGCCAGGACAACCCCAACACGATCTCGTACACTAGCCCGTGCCACAGAAACAGGTTAGATTACATTTTTTGTCTCGGAGACTCTGTACGTTAGCGCCCCGACCCAGTCAACACACGTACACGCTGCACGCGCTCGGACCACTCGGCTTGTACGTTTGAGTTGTCGAACCCGAGCCACACAACGAACGGGTCCGTGGCGCACTCCACATTGGCTGACGCAACTACCCGAAGCGGCCGCGATCATCGACGAGTGCTTGGACCAGTTCTTGGACTCGGTCTCGATCGGTCCGGCCGTGGCCCGCTTTTACGATAGCATGGTCAACGACATGCGCACGCGGCTCCGCCTACTGCACCGGGACCGCGTCGCCGCCGACACAGCCCCCCGACGAGAACTCGAGCGTGAGCTCACCGTCGCGCTGGCGGACCTGAACCGCCACCCGTGCCAAGCCATCATCGAAGCCATCCTCGACATCAAGCGGCGTCTCGAAGAACACAATGCCCAAGTCCACGAGCACAAGACGGAAGCGGCAGTGAAACGCCATCTCGCCGAAGCCGCCCGCTGCACCAAGTACCACTTGAAGTCTCCGTCGATCAAGAAGCTGGGACCGGACTCGATCCACCAGATGCGCGACGCCACCGGTCAGGCTCGCACCACGCCGCAGGAGATCTCGCAGGTCCTGCATGGATTCTACACGTCGCTCTACGCCGCAGAAG